ATGAAAATGTGTTTCCTCGAAATTTTTGATGAATATGTTTTTTTATGAAATATTTTGACGAAATTTAGATTCCGTAAAAAAGTTTGACAAAAAAATTTCCGTCAAATTTTTTTACCGAAATGTTTTTAGTTACAAATGTTGATTAAAATATTTTTCGTAAAATTTTTTGACGTAATTGTTTTTTCTCTTTCTTTTTTTTGACATAATGAGTGTGGGTCAAATTTTGGGTCAATGAGTCATTATTAAAAGAAGTCGGGTCTAAAACTGACCCAAATAAAAGTGGGTCAGTATTTAAATTCAGTTAAAAAAATAGGTATTTATAGGTCAGGTCAAGGTCAGGGCAAGTGAACCAGTTTTTTTGCACACCCCTGGTGATAGGCCCCACCATTATGTATCTATGATAGGAGATAACGTGTAACACCCCGTGTGCACCCGGTGTATTAAACATACATATATGGCAGTGGCGCAGCTAATTAAATGCGGAAGCTGACTTTTTCTTTTCAATTATGACGTCATTATTATTAACCAAGTTGATTACTTAATCCTTTTATAAAATAATGTCTGTATGTAAATTGCAATAAAGAACTAACTAAATAACCTCATATATAGATGTGTATCTAATCACGGAACTACAACACGTAGTCCGGACAATAATCCTGATACATTATACAGCTCGAGTCTAAATAAACATAGTCAAGTCAATGTGGCATAGACAACCCTCATGCATGCTCACCAAATAAGGCAACAAAGCCCAACATAGTTTTAGCTCAAATAACAATATAATGCACTAAAACATAATCACTAAACAGGCATATCAGCAGTCAACATGCACAATCAACTCAACTCCGGCCTCCTGCCACCCGAGGTCTCAATCCCCGAGGTACCTGAACCTGAAAATGTGCCCCAAACGTGGGGTGAGATCTCTAAAAAGAAATCTCAGTAAGACAAAGGGTCCTCAAGGATCTCTCCACCCCAAGCTCACTTACATGTGCAATATAAGTTCAAAAGCAGTATAACAACATAAGTTCCAAAATTTTGCAATGCAGCATATAATCATGTCATGTGTGTCAGAATCCTACGGGCCAGAGAATAAACATGCAGGATCTACAACCTACAGTGCAAGGAACACCGCTTGTACCTCACCCACAGAATCACCATCTTGTACGACGCTACATACTCAGGCTTACCGTCTAGGTGGAACACCACATACATATCATAAGGCACTTGCACATAACAACTCAATAGCATTTCAATAATCATCATTTCATGAAAACACATCATGCATATAAACCATCCCTTCATGAGGTATGGTGGAACCAACAATGGAAAAAATCGAGGACACGAAAGCTTACCTCACAAACAATCAATCCCAAGTCAAGAATCCACAACAGCCCAAGGTCCAAACACAACACAATTACAATCTATTTAGATCAGAAACATCATCAATATCCATACTCTTTAAGGTTCGTTTCATTATGACAACATTTCCTTTGTCGTTTTATGCCATTAGGATTTTCCCAAAGCCATAAGCCTTTAATCCAATTGATTCTGACTTAGTTCCATTATTATAGAGGTTCAACTTAACTAATCATGGGTCCCTAAACCCAATATACAATTCTGTATGAACAAAACAGTGCACCACTCCCACTTTTACAGAATATCCGGATATTTATCGGGGGCATATCCGAATATTCATATCCGGATATCCATATCCGGATATCACAAGTCTCATATCCGGATATCATATCTGGATATCAATATCCGGATATTTCACGACAGAATGTAGTTTCTGCATTTCGCGAGATATCCCTCTCGAGGTTCCATTTTTAACACTTACGTTAAAGCATGCATCTTTAAACCCATTTAGACCAGTGATCATGTTAGCTACTCAATCCTATCATTTTACATGCCAAGACTTGATCTTTAACAAGAAAAATTATGATCAAAGGTGAGGAACATACCCCAAAGGTTCAAAACAGCAGAAAAGAGGTGACTTGGGGCTCTCTATACCACTCCACACTACTGCCAATATAGAGCCACGAAAATGAGCAACAAAAATGGTTTCTTGCTTCACAAAATGGCTTCTTGGACCAACACCAACAAGGAAATGGCTCCCATACAACCCAAACAGTGAAGTCAGCTCAATAATCCCCCCACACAGAGACCAAAACTCAGAAATAGAGTCTAATTCTCACCCTCAATGCTAGCTCTCACTCACACAAGGTATTTTGGTGAAGAAAGCTTGAAGAAAGGTGGCCCCTTTGGCTCACAAGATGAAGGGAGGAAGGTGACCAGCTTGAAGAGAAAATTCAGCAACCACACCCACGTAAAAAGTTGAGGATAAGCTTAGGGTTGTGTGTAATGCATTATTTATAGTCCGTTTAAGTTTAAACACACTATATTAGCACTAATAGTTTCGCTTATCTTTTTAATCCCAAACTTTGGATTCTTAATCTAGCCATTTTTCTAAGATTTGTCATATTTTTATTATAATTTTCTCAGCACTTTGCCGGTACGCACTTTTACGTAGCCGGTAATAGTCCTGACGCCAGTTCTCATTATTTGGACTCCAAACTTGTTATGCCAGTCCTAAATATTTTTCTAGTAATATATAATACTTTTTATAATTTTCCGGGATACTTCATCGGTACGCAATATATCGTGGAGCCGAACCGGTATCTGCACTTTTCGTCAGAAAAGCAACTTTCAACATTATTAATCACTTATTATAATTATTTAAGCCTTCTCATAATTATTTAGGGTCAATTATGGAATTTCTCTCTTAACTCATAATTAATTTAATTAAATTCCTTATTTAACGATGCAGGTTCTTACATAACTCTTCTCTTACAACATGAGAAGAGAGAAGGCCAAAAATTAATAAAATTTTTGGTAAAAAATGAGCCCATAATTAAATTAGTTTAATGGGTTAGCTTTTTCTATAGTCAATGTAGATAAGTTATCTACATAAAACCCAAAATGACATCATTTTGGGATAAAATTCAAGGTATTTTTGTAATTATAATTTATTTCAGGATTATAATAGTCTTTTTCATTATAATTTTTTAATCTTTTAACCTAAAATGATGTTATTTTGGAGTAAATATAGATAACTTATCTACTTTTATTGTAAAAATATTAAAGCCCAGTTTATTTATGGATTATGATCCGTTTATTCATGTTTTATTTGTAAATGTACTTTTAAATTAAGAAAATGTTTGAAAATTTTGTAATGACTAGATAAATATAAAGCTAAATTACACAAAACCACCATCAACTTGTATGGCTTTTCAAAAAACCACCTTCTAGTTAATTGATACAATTAACTCCCATGTATTATAAAATTAAAACAATTAAACATATTTAAAAATTTTAAGACATAAATTACCCTCAATATCAATTCACCAGCTTGTAGGGGTGTATATAGACTAGGCTTTGACTTAAATAGGTCAGGCTTATGTAAAAAACTTCAGATTTGGCCTGGCTTGTTAGCCTTTATAGGTCCAAATTATAAGTCTGAGATGACATATATTTAAAAAATAAAAGTCTTGGCCTAGGCTTGTTAGCTTATGTAAGCCTATTAAATATTCTATAATTAAAAAATAACTAAAATAATATTACTTTATTATTTAAAATTATCAAAATAATAATTTTTTTGTATAAAGAAATAATTTTTATTTAAAATAAATAATATGATATAGACCGACTTATAGGTTTATAGACCCGACATGTATAAAAAAACATAGGCTTGCTTTCTAAATAGATTTTTTAAAAAAATTGGGCTTGTTCTATTTAACTATTTTTAATAAGCCAACCTTAATCTAATATAGGCTAAGTTGTAGACCTTTATAAGTTGGCCTAGTCCATTTATACCCTTAGTTACTTGTCATTTTAGCCATGACCTGGTATCAATTTATGAAATGAAATCCTTGTTTGTGAAATGATTCATATCCTTAGTGGGAAAAAAAAATATAATGATAAACACTAAAAAGATTTTTAATTTATAAATTTCAAAAGGAGTATAAATTCAAATCTTTTTTAAGGGGTCTAGTTTGCAAGGGTAGAAGCTAGGATCAGATATGTAGAGTATTAATAAGTATAGATTGTACTTTGAAGTTTTTGGGGGATTAGAATGACTAATTGGGAATTGGAAAAAATAATTTTTCAATTTGGTTAACATGACCGATAAGGTGCTCGGTAAATTTGGTTAACAAGTTGAGGTTTGAGACATTCAATGATCAACTTCTTGACCGCAGAGTTTCATGCAATCTTATTAAAATTGAGATTTTAAGTAAAATTAAAAGAAAATTAAAAAATTGTAAAACATAAAATTATATTATAAAAAAATTGTAAAAACATAAAAATATTTGGAATATTGATAAAATTATTTTGATAAAAAATAAATCATAAAATCATAATAATAAATCAAGATTTTAACAACCATAATTTCATGCCATCTCTGATCCAACGAAAACACCCTTAACAATTCTTAAATAAAGAAAGTGCATAAACCAATATTTTCGGTTGTATAAATTAGGTTTTTTTTTGGGAGGGGGGTGTTTTAAAAATGTTTGTCTAGTGATAGATGTGGTGGAAGGCCAATAGAGCATGTGTGATGGCTAGCAATAGTCATGCCTGATTATAGGTAAGAATAAAGGGGGGAATATCTTAAAATTATCAAATATGTTTAATTGTTTATTATTTGGGTAAAAGATTTTTGAGATAAATTATTTTCGGTAAGTTCAAAATAACATTGTTTTATGACAAAAATTAAAATATTTTTATAATTTTAATTTATTGTAGGATTATATTAATCATTATCATCATAATTTTTTAATTTTATAATAAAAATAATATTATTTTGGACTTATTGAAAATAATATTATTTCCGCTCACCGAAAAAATTATTTTTCCCTCATTGTTTTAAGGGAAAAAATAAAAATAAAATAAAACTAAATCATAAAATAATTGTTTCCTTTGCTCTACCGCTTTACTCCCGTAGTCCCGTGTAATTTTTTAAGGAAAAAAAAAAAGGGTACGCAAAGGAAACAGTAAAACTCGTCTGCACTGCGCTGCGGTGTTAGTGGGTCGTCAACGAGGTTGTTCTGTGCAGAGTGTTAGAGATGGAAAAAATGGTGGGACTGCGACCATTGTTCAGATCAGTGAGCTCCAGATCTTATGGTTTCGCCGCCGCTGCATCCACCAACCGCCACCACCACCACAACATTCATCGCACCGTTCGAACCCTTTTTAACCTTCCTTCCTCTCAACTCTCTCGCAATCCTAATCCCCTCCCTTCATCCTCAGGTAACCGATTTCTCTCAATTTTATTAGCTTTTTCATTTTCGATCTTAATCAATATAAAATTAATCTTGTTTGATCTCCTATCTGATGCTTATGTGAACAATAATTTTATGTTCTGGTAAAGGTTCGCTTGAACAGGATTTAATGTTTTATTATCATTTTTATTAATCTATATTTGGGCTATTAATTAAAGAAATACCGAGTTTTTTTATTTTTATAAAATATAAGTCGTACAACTAATGAGCATGGATTCATTTGATAAGTTGAACTGCACCAACTAAAAAGTTTGTTGTTTGATTTTACTAGTAATTTTTATAGTAGGTTGTTTACAAGTATTATTGTAAGTTTTGTTAAAGTTTGCATCGTGTTTTTAGTTTAGAATCAAATCAAATCAAATAAAATAAAACAAATGACTCAGTAAATTAAGTGTGGATATAAGATTAGTACTCGCTTAGGTTTCAACGATTGCAAGCTGCAATATGCTTGATATTAGTAATTCTATTTTATCAAATATGAATCATGATGTTATTGGAACCCAACCTTTTCTCTTTAATAATGAAATTGGAGAGTCAGATCACAACTGCAAGAAATCTGCACGTGTTAAATTGATAAAAGATAGTTATATGTTGTTGATTGTCTAGCATTGAGCTAGGGTATTATACTTGAAGATGACTATTATATAATGAATTAATTAGTATTTTTTTTTTTAATGAAAAATATCAGCAGAATGCAGGTCTCCTCATTCAATAGGCTTAGGCATGAGATTTTATAGTGAAGATGTGACCCACATGCCTGACATTAAAGACACTGAGCTTCAAAATGCTTTCAAGGATTTGATGGCTGAGACTTGGAATGAGCTTCCTGATTCTCTCATTTATGATGTTAAGGAGGCCTTATCTAAAAATACTGATGACAAATCTGGCAAGGAGGTTGTGGCAAATGTTTTCCGTGCTGCTGAAGCCGTTGAGGAGTTTGGAGGGATTATAACCACCTTAAAATTAGATATTGATGACAGCATTGGAGCGAGTGGCGAGGTATTTAACTTTACATGTTTAAGTGCTATAAAGTTCATGATAGACTGTGTGGGTCTATAGCAAATGCAATTTGCAAGAGGTTGATTACATGATTTGAACATGTGACCTCCGGGTCACATGACAACAACACGAATCTTTGTGCAAAGGCTTCGCTTCTCACTTTATATATATATATATATATTTAAAGTTACACTATTGCATTTTCTGCTCATTCACTCATCACATTTGGCTGATGATATAATTTATTTCTTTAGGATGTAAAGCCATTGCCTGATAATATGAAAAATGCTCTGCATACCATTTTTGATCGCTACACTACCTATTTGAATTCCTTTGGGCCTGATGAGAGGTATCTGCGAAAGAAGGTGGAGACAGAGTTGGGCGCAAAGATGATACACTTAAAAATGAGATGCAGTGGCCTTGGTTCTGAGTGGGGAAAGGTATCATATATTTTCACTTATTACCACTTATATTTATAGTAGTATTTCAATTTTCAAATGTTATTATCAATTGTGTATGGTTGCCAATGGGGACAAGTTTCTAAATCACCATGGCAGAATTGTAGATTGTAGTGTGGTTTGGGACATATTGAAGTAAGGTGCCAGCTTTTTTTGTAAATATAAAATTTTATTAAATCATGAAAATCATCACAAACTAAATTATATTTCAACTGATACTAAAACAAGCATGAAAAAAGAATATAAGAGAAAAGAGCTCCAAAGATGCGGTGTTGTGTGTTAGTTCTAGGAGTTCTATGCACTGTTTCTCTTGTTATTTTCATTTTTAAGGTATACACTTAAAATCTCAAGCCCTTTGTTTGAATGAGAAAAATGAGGTAAAACATGCAAAAATCCTCTATCTTTCACTTGGGCATTTGCCATAGCGTGATAATTAACGGCTAAGACTCACATTGGATGACACCATGGCACCATCATTTGAAGATGCCACACAATTGGGGGTTTATGGTGAGGGCCCCCCAAAACCACCATGGAAGCCACCATTGACAACTTTGATTTGAAATTTTTGGGTGCACTTGACTACTTGAGCTTGAACATCATTCATTTTTTAAGTCCTTGAAAAATATGTAGTCTAATGTTACTGTATGGCATATTGACTGGAATATCGTTTAACTTTTTCGTTCCCATTCTCTAATTCCTCCAATTATTTTCTTATACGTTTTTGGTTGATAGTCTGCCCTAAGTAGTTATTAATAAGAAAAATGCTAAATAGTGTGAATCTGCTTTCATAAAATGACTCATGAAAGGAGAAAAGTGAAAGAAAATTTGTTACGTTTTGTGTTTTATTTTCTATTTTTTGCTTTTCAACCTTGCTTTTCTTTCCCCCGCCATAATTGGTTATTAGTTGTTAGTCATTCACGATAGTTTTTGTTAAAAAAAAAAGAAAAAAAATCGTATGAAATGACATTGCTATATTAATAATTACAAGACCAGTTTGCATTCTCTTTTCTAATCTGGGGTTTCTGTTGCAGGTTACGGTTCTTGGAACTTCTGGACTTGCTGGTTCATATGTTGAGCAAAGAGCATAGAAGAAATATTTAAGAAACAGTGTAATTGTTTGTTTGTGTTTCATGTCATGCTTTTGATGCCTGTAGACCCTTCGATTTGTTTTTTCCTGACTTTTTTTGTTGCCAAGCGTTTGATTGCATGGAAATAAGAGCGCTTAACTTTGTTAACGATAATCCTTTTACAGTGTTTTCTTTCATTTTCATTCTCATGTTCCATAAGCTAAGAGAGTTGCTGAAGTTTTAGGACTTGTATATATCTTCTTGACAATATGAAAATTACGAGTCAGGAAGTTAATTATTTATATCGAGCTACTCCTTGTGTTTATCCACATCCATTATCTGCAATGTGAAGTGTTATAGAAAATAACAGCTTATCAAAATTTATATTTGTGAATGTTTATGAAGATATAGACATCAAAATCTGTGAATGCTCATGAAGAGGGAGATAGACATCAAAATCTGTGAATGCTCATGAAGAGGGAGATAGACATAACATTTTCATATAATAAGGTCGCCTGAAAATTTTAAATGAGAGAATTCATTTCCTCATGAATGTGGAAACATTTGCATAAGACAATGAAATTCAGGTTGGTGCTAATTTTGAGTTTTACCCTTTTTTTTTGTACCTTGCCAAATGATTAAATCGAATACCGGATGCTATTTCATCAACGTAGTTAAGAAATCAGCTTCCGTTGGCAGCTTTGGTAACTGGTATTCTTCTTGGTCTATATCAGCTAAAAAATGAAGCTAAATTTGTTAATGAATAGTATTCTTTTAGCTAAATCGATCTGATTAAATGAATAGTATTTATCTAGATTTTTTCGTGCTATTTTGGTTTATAATTTTAGTGGCAGTAAAATTTAGAAAACTGATCCTGAGCAGCCAAGAATTATGCAACAGAATAAGAATTTCTTCTCTTTGTGTATTAACACTATATATAGTCTATATATGATGCTTGATCTGTCCCTTATTCGATAATCTTCAACTACTTATTACTGTTGCAACTCCAGAAATTACAGGAATAGGAAAGACTCAGGTAACTTTGGTACTTTGTTGTATTTTACGCGACAACCATGACTCAGACGGTGACTTGGGCAGTGGTGGAAGCAACACAGCTTTACGGCAGAGTCCAAAAGGCCATCCCTCACAATGACAAAACTCCTGAATTATTGAACGCCTCCAATATTCCGATAAGTCAATCTCATTCATGCTTGAACATCTTGAAAGGTTGGTCTTCACAGAATAAAATGCTTCCGCAGCACTCATAGCACTCGAAGAACAGCATGAGAAACAACTTTTGACTGACAAAAACTCTTCTCTTTCATCATGTTCTTCATCCCCTCCCTCCCTTGCTTGTGGAACCATTCTCTGAGTGACAAACAATTCTCTTGTTGCAGGAGAGTATACCCATGAAAACCCACCTCTCAATGGGCTTGATTTGTGCTTTTGTTTTTCCATGGCTCGGCTTCTAACTGCTGAGACAACCTCCTGAGGAAGCATAGAAAAAAAACAAAACAATAACAACTTACATTAACTAAAAGGGAAGAACTTTTCAAGATAGTTTGATTAAGGTTGAATAGTGAGGTGAATGTACTTCCTGTTCCTCATCAAAATCACTGATGGGGCACTCCTCCTCAAGGCTTGCAGTTGAAAGCCTTCGAGTGAAAGTTTGACAGTGGGAAAATACTTCCTTCAGAGTAGCTCCAAGGTATTTGCATCTCTTGCGATGATGGTTTGGTGGCTCTTCATGGTAGAATACACCCATGGTGGAAAAAGGAAATTCATTGATCAACTTTTAACATAAAGAGGATATATATTGAACTACCATTACCTCTGTGTATAAAGTATAAACACTTGTGTTGATGCTCAAATTGACCTGCTTTACTGATAGTGCCCTTGCAGCCAACTGAAACCCCACTAAGCTTTCCGTCCTTTAAGGTAAAGGCAAGTTAAAATGGCCTAATGACACTTTAATGAATGGCAAGAAAATTCAATTTGTGATTCAAATGATTTGTTTGACTGCTATAAATATCGAACACCTTGAATGACCCTGGTAACTGGTAAGTGGTAACCTTCATCAATTTGTTTAATTCTCTGCCTAAGTGGTGGTGCTTATTCAAAGTTACACTTCAAGCTAAAGTCATGGTTAACAGGACGTGCCACCGAACAGATACTGTAATCTGATAAATTTGTTGTGTGATTGGTTATTGGTTAATGGCTATCCTCCAATTGAAGTTATTTCGTGAAAAATAATCCAGAAAGGGACAAGAGGATCGGTACATTTTGAGCTAAGTGGCATTTATCCCATCGTCTAGAAAAGTTGAAATTGACTCGCATGACATAAAAAGTAGATTCTGTATACATAAAAAGATTCCAACACACGATCTCGAGTACGATTTCCTCTGGAACACAGCTCTAAGATTAACTTTTAGAAGTCTTATCAGGAGAATTATGAACAATTTCCTCTACGATTTCCTCTAAGATTTCCTCTACGATTTCCCCAATAAAACTATGAACAATTTTAATTTTAATTTTAATATAACTAGTGGACCATATCATAATTCATATGGAGAATTACACAAACACGCATTGTTACACATATGAGAAGAACTTGAATGGTAACAATGAAATTGAATTCAGTTTGGGGATGTTTGAAGGTGTTGAGAAGTGAGAGAGATCAAAGAGTTAAGCTTGGCAACAGCAGAGGTCTTATCAGGAGGGCATTTTGAGAGAGAAACGTTCAGAGAACGGAGAGCCTCGTCGAGCTTCCCAGCTGCCAAGGCGGCACAACCTGCCTTGTATGCTTCGTCCGCCATGCGCTCATCGTATCCGCGATCGGATTCCGCCGCAGCGGTGGCGCGTGCGTATTCAAGATTAGATATTGCGGAGTCGATCTCCGCCATCAGCGCCTCCGGCGTCGCCGCGATTATCTTCACTCCGTCATACACACTCCAATGGACCTTGCCTTCTCCCGAACCCGAACCCGAACCCGAATCCATGTCGCTCAACGAGATCTTGGTAAGTACTCGATCCAAGAAGGATCGAATTTAATGTTGGATCAAATATGAATGATGATGAATGTGTTGTCGTGCTTCATTTCTTGGATTGGAACGGTTAATAATCTCTATGCTCAACTGATTTTCTCACCTATTGGGTTCTCTAGCCGGCTAGCCCTACCCTTGGTTTTTTCATTTAGGGACAAAGATAAAATTCAAGGGAATTAATAAATAAGGAACTATTAAATATTTTTAATATCAATTTACTATTAGTCAAATTACTGTTGTATCTCATTCTTCAGCTGACAATTTATGAAAAATTATATAGGAGAGAGGAAAAAAAATAGCTTTTAATATATTCTAAAAAATACATAAGTATATTAAAGTAATAATAGAAATATTTGATAATATGAATGAGATAGGATATTGTAATAACCAATTAGGGTTACTACTAATCAATTTCACTGTTGGATTGATTATGTTGATCCAACGGTTATATTTATTTCCATCTTTGTATTGTTATGATTCTCCATATTTAATACTTTATATTTATTTTTACCTTTATATGGTTATGATTCTCCATATTTAATGTTTTCACATTTAATACGAAGAATCATAACCATACAAAGATGGAAATAAATATAACTGTTGGATCAACATAATTGATTTAACGGTGAAATTGATTAATAGTAACATTAACACTAACTGTAATTGGTTGTTACAATATCTTACTCCAATAAGAATATCCTATCTCTTCGTACCAAAAAAAATATATCCTATCTCTAAATAAATAAGAATAAAAAATTATTATTAATGATTAAATAAATCATTCAGTTGTTTAGTCTAAAATCCAATTCAATTTGCACGTGTGTAATTGCAAATCTATTTGCCTTTACTTTTTTTTCTTTCTCTTTTTGTTTTGATGGACAAGGATTTGGATTAAAAGAGACATTCTTATTTTATTTGAAAAAACCTTGTACCAATCAATTTGAACTCCAGTTTCTGAATGTTGCATGTTGGTTATTTTTGGGTGATTTGGTTAGGATCGGTGAAATGGGATTTAGAAAGAAAGAATAAGAAACCTAAATGTTTTGTAAAAGGGAAAAATATTTCTCACTTACTGAAAATAAAGTGATCTCCAGTAAGCTCAAAATGATGTCATTTTAAAGTTATAAGATTAAAAAATTATAATAATAAAGACTAATATAACCTTACAATATATTAAAATTACAAAAACACATTAATTTTCGTCCCAAAACGACATCATTTTGAGCTCATAAAAAATAACTTAACATATCTCCATTGAAAAAATCTTTTACTCTTTGTAAAATATAGGTAAGTTGAAAATAGCATTTGCTTACCAAAAAAAGAAAAAGAAAATAGCATTTGTCAATTGAAATTTTTATGTAATCTATTTTTTTTATATAGATTAAATAGGTGGGATCTTATTAAAAAAATTGTGATTATTATGAGAAAAAGAATAGATACAAAAATTTTACATGTGAAACTTTATCATTTCAAAAGTCATTCCCAAGTGAGTTAATAGTTTTCGGGTACGATGAATTTATCATAATTTGTATTCAAAAGAAATAAAAAGGCAACACAGGTTAGCATCTCAACAACAGTGAAAAGTATAAAAACCACTTCAGGAGGAGGATTACCCAAAATCTAAGACGGATCTAATCCTAAACTCTTAGCTACCAACTTGGCCAAAGGACTATAGCTTGATGCGAGGAGATTTATGTTCAGAGCAGCAGTGAAAGATATCAGATGAGAGAGAGAAGAAAGAAATAAACTGAAATTTTGATATTGAGAAAATGAAGTGATGATTACATTTAGCTGTGTAACTCTAAATTATATACTCCTAGTCTTAGATGAATCTCAGCCATTCATAAATAACTGAATGATCTCAACCTTTCAATAATAACAGATCAGCTAAACAAACTAACTGACTTTAAACAAACTATCTAACTTCTGATGTTGGGCTTCTGTTATTGGGCTTGGCCCATACATCCTTTATTCCCCCGCAAGCTGAAGAGGGGTTGGACTTGGAGTCCACCACGCGAAGCTTGGTCTTGAAATCAAGGAAGGAGACTTGGGAGACAGCTTTGGTAAGACCATCAGCAAGTTGGTCAATGGCTGGGACATGGTGCACCGACACAGCCTTACTGAGCACCTTCTCCCTAACAAAATGGAGATCCAGCTCAAAGTGCTTGGTCCTGGAGTGAAAGGTGGGATTAGCGGTAAGGAGCACAGCGGAGAGGTTGTCACAGTAGATAACTGGAGATCTGGGGATACTGATGCGAAGTTCGGAGAGAAGGGACTAGATCCAGGTCAGCTCAGCGACGGTAGCAGCAAGACAACGATATTCCGCCTCAGTACTCGAGCGGCTGACCACATGCTGCTTCTTGGAGGACCAGGTGACAAGATTCGATCCAAGGAAGATACAGAACCCACTGGTGGAACGGCGGTCGTCAAGATCCGAACCCCAATCGGAGTCACAGTAAGCAGCCAAATGGAAATTGGGAGATGGGTTGATGGTTAACCCATGAGAGATCGTCCCACTCAGGTAACGAAGTATCCTTTTAACAGCCTTCCAATGTGTATCTAAAGGTACATGCATAAATTGACAGACCTTGTTTACACTGAATGTGATGTCAGGACGAGTAATTGTGGCATACTGAAGGGCACCAACAATGGATCTATACTGAGACGGATCAGGATGTGGAGATCCATCACGAGAAGAAAGCTTGACACTGGACATCATAGGAGTTGGCATGGACTTGCAGTTTTCCATGTTGGCCTTTTTGAGGAGATCCTGAATATACTTGGATTGATGGAGATGAAGACCACCAGAGGCTGATTTGGTCACCTCAATGCCCAGAAAGTAGTGCAGATGACCAAGGTCCTTGAGAGGAAAGGCATCATTGAGGGAGTGGATGAGAGTCTGAATAGCAGAGGAAGAAGATCCAGTAACAAGTATATCATCGACATAGACTAGGACATATAGAGTAGCAGTAGGTGTAATGGAGATAAAGAGGGAAGAGTCACATTTAGCAGTGACAAAACCCAGTTTGTGAAGAGTGCCACTGAGTTTGTCAAACCAGGCGCGTGGAGCCTGTTTGAGGCCATAGAGAGCCTTAGTGAGCTTGCACACCAGGGTTTTATCTTCATGAATAAAACCTGGAGGTTGTTGCATGTATACATCTTCCTGAAGATCACCATTCAGGAAGGCATTGTTCACATCCAGCTGGTGAACAGGCCAGCTTCTAGAGAGAGCAGCTGTAAGGACGATCCGAATGGTAGCAGGTTTAACCACAGGACTAAAGGTTTCCTGGTAGTCAAAACCTTCCTGTTGGTGAAACCCCTTGGCCACTAGCCTGGCTTTATACTTAAGAATGCTGCCATCAGGATGAAATTTGGTGCGAAATACCCATTTACAGCCTATAGGAGACCTGTTTGAAGGCATAGGAACCAACTTCCACGTATTATTTTTGAGTAAAGCAGCATACTCTTCTTGCATAGCTGCATGCCAGTGTGGTTGTGCTAGAGCCTGAGAGACAGAAGTAGGTTCCAAAGAGGTCAAATAGGCTTTAGGTTTAAAGATACCAGCTTTAGCTCTAGTAACCATAGGATGAGTTGGAGGAACCACAGGAACTGGTAGAGTGGAATTAGACCTGCAACTGTTGTCAGAAAAAATAGGGAACCTGCAAGCAGTGTTAGAGGAACTAACAGAAAAATCATTAATAGAGTCACCCATTGAGAGATTAGGAGAAACAACAGGAGATGGAATAGGAGCTAATATTGGGACACGGGATGGAACAGGGACAGTTCTTGAGTTAATGCTGGGAGATAATACAGGAATGACAGGAGTAGAGGGATAGGTAGATGACTCACTGGTTGAAGAGGAAGTAGAAACTGAGGATTTGAGAAAAGGAAAATCAGATTCATCAAAGAGAACATGTCTTGCAAAAATGACTTGACCAGTTGGTTTTAAACATTTGTAACCTTTTTGATTTGTACAGTAGCCAATAAAGGTGCATTTTTCTGATCTAAAATTGATTTTGTGCCTGTTGTAGGGTCTTAGGTAGGGATAACATGCACATCCATAAGTCTTGAGAAAAGAGTAATCAGGTGTCTTGTGAAATAAGGTTTCAAAGGGAGACTTGTTGTCTAGGGTGGGAGTAGGTAAGCGATTTATAACATGGGTGGCAGAAATAAAGGCATCAGTCCAATACTTGGTTGGTAAGTGGGATTGAGCTAGAAGAGCTAGGCCAGTTTCAACAACATGCCTATGTTTTCTTTCGGGTTGGCCATTTTGTTGATGAGTGTAGGGACATGTGAGGCGATGAATAATGCCATGTTGTTGCAAATAGGGAGTAAGTTTGAGGTATTCTTTGCCATTATCAGTTTGGAGGGATTTGATTTTAGCATTAAGTTGTAATTCAACCATGGTTTTAAACTGAATGAATATATTGTAAGCTTGTGATTTGTTTGTCATAGGATAAAGCCAAGTGTATTTGGAAAAGGCATCTACAAATAAAATGTAGTAGTGAGCACCTGAGGAACTTGCAATAGGTGCTGGACCCCAAATGTCAGTAAGAACAAGTTCTAAGGGATTAGAGTAAACTGTAGTAGTATTAGGTAAGTGCAGTTGGTGCATTTTTGCCATACAACAAGCACAACACAATTGTGAATCAGTTTTATTTGCATATGGTATGTTACAATGTTTAAGAACCAACTTGACAATAGGAAAAGAGGCATGAGCTAATCTTGAATGCCATAGATCTAAAGTGGAAACTTTAGAAGTATTATTACAAGCTAAGGAAGATTTAGCAGAAGAAATTGTGGGTATACGAGGTTGATGCAATTTTGAAGTAGATGCAGCAACAACAACAAACTTTGGAGGTTTTTGTACTCCATCAAACGCATAGAGACCATTTTTAAGGTTGCCTTGGAGAAGGATCTCCTTGGTAGCCTGAGATTTGACATAGCAAATATTAGAATGGAATTCAAAAAATACTTGATTTTCCTTTGCAAATTGTGAAACACTCAACAAATTTTTGGACAAACCAGGAACATGCAGAAGATTGGACAGTGTAAGAGTTTTTGAGCTAAAAGGAGAGTATAGAAATGAGTGACCTATGTGTTTGATTTTTAGGTTAGATCCATTACCTACTTGAACAGCATCCTGACCATTGTAAGTGGTTTTCTGCAACAGGTTGGAGGATTCTGGTGTGAAGTGATTTGTGGCTCCAGAGTCTGGATACCAGCTTGAATCAGTGAGAGAGAAATAATCAGAGGCTTCATCATCCTGTTGTTTTGCAACAGTGTGGCTGGTCACTGCCATATTTGCTTGCATGTTGGAGAAGTTATTATGTTTTATTGAGCTTTGGTAACTCTGATTAAACCTATGATGACAATCAAGAGCCAAGTGGCCATATCTACCACAAACTTGGCATTGAGGTCTATTATAGCCTCCACTGCCATGGTACCTTCCTCCTCTTCCTCTGTAAGGTTGATAATTTCCTCTATTTGTATTTGTTTGGAATCTTCCTCTGTTCGAATTAAAACCTCCTCTATTAAAATTGGAGTTGAAACCTCCTCTTCCTCTGTTTGCAGTGTTACTGACCTGAAGTTGAGCCATATTGGCTTGAAGGCTTGATGAAAGATTTCTTCTATGCTTCTCCAACCTTTGTTCTTGAGCCATCAATAGAGCTTCTATTTCACCAACAGTATAAGGATCTGTGCGTGAAATAACTGATGTGACAAAACCATCATAATCTTCATTTAGGCCATCTAATATCGCATCTATGTGATCTTCACAACTAACAGCTGAACCACATGCAGCCAAAGAGTCCACTGTTTTCTTGATTGTGAGAAGGTATTTTGACACATCACCTTCTTTCTTTATATTCTTCAATTGCACTTTCAATTGTTTAACCTTTGCTCTCGTTTGAGACATGAAAAATTCTTCAAGTTTCTTCCAAACTTGGAATGAATTGGAACAACCAACAACACGCATGTACATTGATTCAGACATGGACGACAGCAGCCAAGAAAGTATCAACTGATCTTGTTGAGCAGTAACAGTCGTTTGTGTATTTGTGACTTGAGGAGTTTGAGTTGCATTGTTGCCAACACTTTCTACACCTTCTTCAGTAACGGTTCTTGCAACAGGTATTGGATCTTGAACTTCTTGAGTGATGAATTTGATTAAACCATAACCTTTGATTGTAGCTAACGCTTGCTGTTTCCATGGTAGGAAATTATCTTCATCCAACTTGAAGGAAACTGGATTGGAGAAAGTATGAACAGAGCTTTGCACAACACGATTTGAGTCCATGGATCAGATTTGGCTCTGATACCATGAAAGATATCAGATGAGAGAGAGAAGAAAGAAATAAACTGAAATTTTGATATTGAGAAAATGAAGTGATGATTACATTTAGCTGTGTAACTCTAAATTATATACTCCTAGTCTTAGATGAATCTCAGCCATTCATAAATAACTGAATGATTTCAACCTTTCAATAATAACAGATCAGCTAAACAAACTAACTGACTTTAAACAAACTATCTAACTTCTGATGTTGGGCTTCTGTTATTGGGCTTGGCCCATACATCCTTTAAGCAGTGGTACAATTATTTTTCATTCTTGAGTATTATCTTACACGAGACTTGCAATCAATACCAATATTGGTTATCTATTCTGCTTCATATTATTGTAGTGGAAACCCTTCAGGATCTGATCGAAAAAATTAATTGGATTATATAAACACATATTCATATATATGTATGCATACATACATGTGTAAATGAATGTATGATCATAAAGGATAAAAGGAAGGCAGGGAGGACATAGATGATTGATCATCATCATCATCAACATTAACAACATCACGAACAGGAACTATATTTTAAGTAGGATTATAAATCCCACAGATACAATGAATTATGATATCAGACAGCTCAAAACAAAACTTCTTCCTCATCAGTTAGTGCATCTTTAGTTCATATTTTGGTGAACACACACGGGAAATAACACTTCCCAATGCACTTTTAAAGCAATCAAGATATTTGTTCTGTGGTCAAACGTCCGATTGCACCATCCAAGAATTTCAAACAAACAAACCTAAGTCATTTCGCCTCAGTGTTAGACCGGTCTAGGAGGAAAAATCCTAGGCACTTAGATGGTGAATCTGTCAAAAACCGCACTTTGACCAGAACCAAGTCCTAAATGAGTAAGTGACCACTAGGGAAAATACTTTGCACCCCATTTCATTTCATTTAACGAAAAAGGCAAAAACATGTTGAAGAACAATAGTATAATCCACAAAGCATGACAAAGGCTTTGCCAAAGCTAGCTTTGCGTGCCTGTAATCAATCAACAAGGTAGCTCTGGACTCTGGTTGATCATGTTACCTTCTGTGTTGGTTATTTATCTCATGCGCGAACAACTCCAGAGACCCATGGAACAATCACTGGCGCAGATGGCTGTGAATTTCTATACCATTCAGGATATCTATCCTTGAAATTTAGTTTGGGATTCTCAGCCTAGATTCAGAATACCAAGAAGAGAATATTAGCCATGAGGGAAAAGGAAAAATACACGATTGAGAACGAAATTATTAGACAAGACATTATTTTGAAAGTTTAAGAGTATTCTGAAAGATCTCATAGATAATAAAAGTATCAAAGGTTATTACTTATTAAGCAAATACATAGAGAAGAGGCAAACTAGCGAATCACATTCACATGGTACAACTTACATATTTCAGCCAGCATTCCTGATGTTTGTGCTGATATATATCTGGCGAATGACACCCATACTCTGATGGACAATAGACCCAGATATTGCATTTTTTTTCACCTTCTTTGGCACGTTTGGCCTGGTCCAAGCAAGCCTGACAGCAATCGGCCGCACTATCTTTGTGGTGAGTAAGACCCCACCTTACTGCAGTACCATCATAATCTGAGTGAAGTTCAGCATTACACTCAGGTGGAAGGGGCCTGCCAGGAAGAACTTCCTCCTCTGAAGAGAATGTATACTTGGTAAATACAAATATTAACTTTCTGCATGGAAAAATATGTGCACACTTCCAGATTCTAACACACAATGCAAGCATGTTAAGATTACAAAAGTCAGATTTAAACTGCAGAAACTATTACCTAACTCATGTATGCCCTCAGGTTTGTCATCATGTTCTTTATTAGCAACTTCAACAGGCATCCAAAGGCCAATTTCTTCAGAAAGCACAGCCCAACCAGATTCCAAAGCTTTTACTAGCATTCCTAGGAAGTTAAAATAAACATTAGGTACAAGTTGTCAAAGATTTGTAAAGCATATTAGTGTGCAAAGAGACAAGCTTCATCTAAAATTGTCACACAATCAACTCAAATGTCAGAAACACAGCAGAAAATCGTTGTTCATACCTGCTTCTTCATTAGAGATGGTTGAGTTGGAAATCCCTCTGACAAGAGCCAACTTAACCTCTTTCAGTTTTTCCTTCCGCCAATTTTCAACTGCTTCTGTACGGAATGAGTCAATGTTAAAAATGTTAGGAATAAAATATCTTCCAAATTCTACAAAATTATCATTTGCATAACACCGCCAATTTTTATGTCAACCCTCCTCCCCCATAATAATAATAATAATAAATAAAAACTAGGCCACATGAAATCCAAGAAACCATTGATTATGCACTCTTGGATGGAAAACACTCAAAATATATAGATCCTTATATATTAAGAAATTTTATGTATATAAAAAATATCAAATACAAATGATTAAAAAGACATTTTTGTTTGTCTCACACCCAAAGGATGTTGTGTGTGGGGATACCATAGCAATCCAAAAGACACAGACAGTACAAGGAAAGCCCAAATTTGTACATATTTTGATCTAGCATGCAATCCAAATAAATAAATCCATTTTCTTATTAAATATTAAATTTTTCTTCCAAGGTTATACAAAATGATCTTCAAAAGGAAGATGAGCGATTGCCAACTTCATGCATTATAGTTATCACTACATGTTTCAAAACTTTGGAAGTCGTTGTTCTTTTAAGTAAGAATAAGAATCAATGATGCAACAAACCACCATGCCAATGTCATCCAGCAGTAACATGAGTCATGAGGTTAATAATCACCTTATTATCCAACCACATAAATATATTCGGAAGTAGGTTAGATCAATCAAATTACGACACATAACCCCCCCCCCCCCCCCCCCCTCCCCTCCCCATATTTGATTTAGGACCAAAATTAGTACAATCCAAAAAGGTCTCTTCTTAGTCTTAAGAGTGAAGAAAGAAAGGAAGAAAAAAGGATAGTGCATGATCACATCAAAGCAATTTCCTCAAAAAAGTTTTAAAAAAAGAAAAAAAGATTGACAAGTATGTCTGCTAATTTCCTCCTTGAACCACAAAATACACACTACTAAATAAATAGCCAGCAAGCAACAAACACATTAAAACAGAAAAAGTAGCATCTATGAATACATCACATCTAAAAAAGTTCATGTATTTTAACAAGCAGTTATGCAGCGCAGGGGACAAAAGAAGATCAGTATGCTCCTAAGGATAGTGAAAAGTTGAATCTTCCAAGTGTCAATAGTCTTGTTAATATGAGATCCTGATCCTCTAGCATCATTTAGTGATAGCATTGATTCACCAATTCAAATAACCATATTCCATCAAGTTTACAATGGACGTACTTTGCATATACTTCTGGATAAAAATCAAGTTGGCCATGTAAAATTGGTATTAATTTTCCTATGAAATAGATAAAACTTGATAAACAAGCACCAGCAAAACCATGCACTTTCCCACATCCTACAAATGAACTTGACCAGGTAAAGATGATAGCTCCAACCATCCTTTTTGTTAATCCAAGTTTTACCATAAACATTGCTATTAATACACAAAAATCTTATAGAAGGAATAATATATTCTTATCAGCAAAATCTACAAGCATACACTCACCTCGCTGCTTAGCAATACCCTGGGAGTGGGAGATGTTTGTGCTGCTGCTATTCAAGCTCCCTAGTCTCAGCAAGACCTCATCAATTATTTTCTGTTTCAAATGCTGAGGCAACTCAACTGCCACATTTTCACTTGAAAACTCCCCTTCAAATGCCTTCACCTATTTGCACAACGGTTTTATAACATTAACTCGAGGTTAACTTCATAAGAATTGATTGCTCGAGCCAAGTATAAAACGATTCTTACCCATTTCACTAACTCCACCGGTTTGTATGCCTTCCGAATTTCATATGATTCTTCCATTTTCCAAATCTGATCTGATCTATACACCACAACTGAAAATACAAAACAGAAACCAAACCAAATCAAAAAGGGGTTAAATTTTTTTGAAATTTTCCAGTTTCAGAAAAGCACACAGCAGGTTGAGAAGTATTCAAAACAAGACTTTATTCTTTTTTGGAAAAAATGGGGGGTTTTCAAAATTCACCATAAAACTTAAAGCAGAAACCTTTTAGTTACCCTTTTGTTTGATATGATATGACTTACTGTTTCGTGCAATGCTACCAGAGTAGATATAAAGAGAACCATAAAGAAATCGAATACAGCAGAGAGAAATGGCGATGTTGAAAAAGCAAACTACAAGAGTGATTTTCTTGTAGGAACAAATCCACTTCCCTCTTGGTTGAAGTTGAACCCCACATTCCCCTCTCGCCATGCCCCTCCCTTCTTCTTCTTCTTCTTCTCCCCTTTATCCTCATCCCACCATTGCCCACTTTCTCTTTCTGAGGAAAAGGTTGCGACTTTAATAGTTTTAAACTGAGATATTGCAACCCATAATAGATCCACGAATCGTTACAAATCCCAAGTTGTTCACACCGTGAATTTGTGACTAGCTAGCTTTTTTGTGCGAGTTTGGAAGTGAAACATCGAAACCGGTCGTGTGCTGACGTACGCTTGTTGTCAGAGCTGGTTGAGAATGAATGGATCACCAAATCATTTCGGTGGTTCCCTGTCATCATTGATGGTGAACCTAACATAAGTTTTTCCCAAAATATGTATTTTAAAGTAGAGATGGATTTATACGTGAAGTACACGTGGAATTAGTGGTGGCGATTTCATTTTTTTTTTTTTTTAACTATGTTGAACTTGATAATGTTATTAAACCTTGGTTATTGACATGGGATACTGTATTATTAAATCACTAGTTCAACTACGGAGTTATTAACTAAACTTCTTGATGTAGATAAATATACATAAATCTATATTTTACACTTAGAAATCCATCGTAGAATCTACAATATAATCCTTTTACATTAGTAAGAAAGTTGTTAAATTTATTATATATCTTACACATCAAATTCTACAAACTCTGCAAAACTTGAGAAGTTGTATATCAGTTTCAATTCAAAACAACTAATAGGAGCGTTTGGTAGAAGATATATATTTTTTTACTAGGTAAATGCAATTACTAGTAATATGATAGAAAAGTGAATTAGGTAGAAAAGTTAAAAAAAAAAAAACCTATTTGGTTGGCATAAATTTTACCAGAAAAATTAGGTTAAATATTGTGAGTCTTTGTTTGGTTAAGGGTGAAATAATTATGGGTAAATATGTTGAAATATCAAAAACAACCCTTGATTTAATTTTTGAATCTGAAGATGGATTAAAACACATCCGTGAGTAAGCGTCGACGGATAATAAACACACAAAAGTAAAACTATCTTTATCGACATTGAAAGACAAAAAATGGTAAAAAGCATTAGGCTAACTGTGACTTATCTCTACTGGTATACATCACTCTCAAAACATATCCTTACTTTAATTTTCTTTTGCAGGGAGTTGCAAGCATTGATGGTACGTTTCTCAAACCACCAAACTGAGCAAGCAACTGGTATACACCACCAATCGAGGGTCAGTAGTCGAGGGTTAGAGGAGGGGTTAATATTCGAAGTTTCAGAGATGTAGACGTGTACAACAGCCAAGGGTAATACAGTAACGCGCTCCTTCATCTTTTTTTGGGTTGCCCAGCTTTTTTTAAAAGTACCACACTTACATTGGTCAAATGCTACAGTGATTTCTCTATCGTTTTTGCACATGATTGTTGAAGGATGGGGAAAGGAGAAGCATGGGACAATTTTTCGATTCTGCCTACCAAACAAAGGAATCCTTGAATGCAAATTATATTTGGATGGGAAACCAAATCAAAAGCCTATACCAAACACCCCATAAGGCGAATGCAGCCAAATTCTATTATGATTATTTTGACTAGACAAATCAACACATGAAAATTTAGAGTTTTTAAAATGAATATTTTAAAAATATTTTATTAAAAACTCACACCTAGAATTTCTATGATTTAAGACAAGACACTAAAAAATATTATTAAGGACTTCATTTTTAAAATGAAATTTGAAGTTTTTTCTATATAAATACAAAGAAAATAAAATTAAAAAAAATGAAAATAATTAATACACCTACTCCTCAACATTGAAGTGGTGCTTGTAATTAGGGGTGTCAATATGGGTTTTGACACGCGGGTCAACCCGCGACACGACACGAAAATTCGTGTTCGGGTTGACCTGTAAAAAAATTTGTGTCGTGTTCGTGTTGGAAAAAATGACACGCAAAAAATTCGTGTCGTGTTCGTGTTTATGAATTCGTGTTCGTGTCGACCCGAATTATTTTTTAATTATTATTATTATTTTATTTTTTAATTTTTTATTTATTTTCGATCTATTTTTTTAAAATTTTTTGTCAATTACGGTTTTGTCCCCTATTTTGCGTGTTATTCGTGTCGTGTCGTGTCAACCCGCAAAAAATTCGTGTCGTGTCAGTGTTGAAGATTTTGACACGAATGAAAATTTGTGTCGTGTTCGTGTTGATGTATTCGTGTCGTGTCGAATTCGTGTCGTGTCGAATTCGTGTCGTGTCAACCCATATTGACACCCCTACTTGTAATCAGGGAAGAAAGTGATAGTGTTTGAACAATGATGGGACTAAAGAGGCATTATTGTGGTTGGAAAGACACATGGTGGAGAGACTCGATCTTAGAGTTAATGGCTGTATGGAATAAAGAGAAGATGAGAATCACTCATTGAAGAAAGGAAATGTTGTAACAAGTGATAGAATTGGCGATTGCAAGTAAGTGGTTTCGTTTGGGAGGAATTATAAATTTTTGAAGTTTTGAACAAAACAACATCATTTTGTTTTTTTTATTTTCTAAAAAAAATGCATGATCCACTAGTTTTTAGCGACCTGACTGGGTCACTGATTTTGATAAAACTCAGTCGGTTCAAACTGATTTTGATCGGGTCTAATACATAGTTGATCCATTAATTGACTCGGACTGATTAAATCACTCGTTCACTATATTTGAAGTTGACCCAGACAGTTTGAGGTGAGTTTGATTAGGGCTGGCAATATGGGCCAGCCCGCCCCGGCCCGCCACTAGCCCACCCAAAATGGGCTGGCCCGAGTAACCCGACCCGTTTTATAAGTGGGCTGGCGGGCTACGGGTCAGCCCGCCTAAAATAAAAAAATTATAAAAATAAAATACAAAAAATTAAATTCTGCATAAAATCACATAAAAAAATCTGCATAAAAGCATACAAAAATCTGCATAAAATCCTAATGTGCTTATGAAACCAAGAAGATCAGTGTTTAATAATCTGCATATAAATATGCATCTTTCAATCCAAAAATAATAATAAAAAATAAAATCATATAAGGATAAAATAGAGTAACAAAACAAGTAACAAAGTGTTGTATGAGCAGTCCACAACAATTCAAAAAAGCCACTTGCATGCAGAGAAATCCAAGATACGGAGCTACATAACAATTGGGTAACCTAAAAAAAAAAAAAGGACTTAGCGGGCTGACCCATATGGGTTGACGGGTTTGGCGGGGCGAGTTTGGCGGGCTGAAAAACTCAACCCAACCCGCCCCATTTGGCAGGCGGGGCGGGCCAGCCCGGCGGACTCAGCCCATTTTGCCGGCCCTAAGTTTGATAATAATACTAAGGTACAAAATACGTGAAAGTCCTTGTGTTTTTTTTTATAATAAAGTTTAGATAAGGGAAAGTACGTGGGGTTAGAGAAAATAATATCTTAAATGTTAAATGAGGATATAAAATGAGATTTACATATCGTTCATAAAAAAGAAAATTTTAAAGAGTCTTTGTGTTTTAAATTCTATCAATGTAATTTATATGGTTGGTGTTCAGTATGTAAAATTGAGATTACATCCATGTGACTTATATGTTTGGTTTTAAGTATGTAAAATTGATTTTGGGTGAAAAAAATAAAATAAAAAAATCTTTCTTTTCTTAAACTGAGATTTTGAAATTGAAATCCAATTAAATACTTTGGGTATTTGTAGAGGAAAAAAAAAAATTATTCGAAAATTGAGATTCCTGAAAATATGGTAGAAAAGTGAATTTCTCAAAAATGTTATTAAAAATTGTTTTGTAGGCCAAAATTTATCGGAATTTTTGTCAGTTTTTTGCATCTAATTTTTCATTTTCTCAGGAAAGTGAGAATATCATTCTCTAGATGGTATTTTGGTTTACATTTTACATACAAAATAAAATTCATGAAAAATCATATTACCAGAAATTTTTTCAGAAATCTTTTATGGAATATAAATAAATTGAATTACCACTTTCACTTTTTCAGGAATCTGAAAATAAACCCTTTACCAAACACGTAAAGTGATTTCATTGCCACCCGAAGTAAAGAATCGTGAGTGTGATTGTTACTTTACATTTAGGATGTGTTTGGTACAAGGGTATCAAAAAGATTACTGATAAACCTTCTTTGGTAAACGTCAATTACCATGTTTGGTAGAAGTAACAAAAATCAGTTTCCGGATATCCAAGGTTTACCGGTAATTTGATTTATAAAGGAAAGTCACTATCCAGATTATCAAAAATAATATGGTAATTCAGAATTCCAAGTAAAGGGAAAGCACAACAACAATTTTTTAGACAAAAATATCCCAGCACACATCAAAACCTAGACCCAATCTATCAATTACAAAAGTAAAAATAGTTTGGGGTTACTTTTGTAAAATAACCTCATATTTCAAGTCATATTTCGTTCTAAACCAAACATGGAATCAGTAATCTTTACCCAATATTTCCAGTAATATTTTGGCGAACCAAACACCTTTTTCGTAACATTCCGAGTAAACTCAATTTCTAGTGTATTTCCAGTAATCGTGATTCCCGAATACCAAAAAATTTCTCTTGTACCAAACACACCCTTAGTCAATGACTTATGGTCTCGACGCAAATAAATCCAATCAAGTTCGAGGGTTATCCCGATATTAGTTGCAGGGGCAACGCTCTCGTACTCGTAGAAGCATTATATTATTTTGGTGTCGGGAATTTTTTAGAATAAAGTATTTTATGAATATTCAACAAAATTTATGGGGGCCATTTTAATTCTTTAGAAAAAAATTTGACTTGTGATCTCTCTAAAATTTAAAATAGACTCAGTTAGTCAAAATTATGGTTCTCTAAAATTTAAAGAAAACTTATATTAATCTCTCAAAAGGACATAGGTCTATTTTGAATTTCAGATGGACCATGAGTCGACTTTTTTTTATAAATGATTAAATTGGTCTCGTAATATTTGTTGAGGATCTAAAAAAACACTCTTTATGTTTTTTATGTTCTCTTGTAATTGTGAGCTAATAACGAGTGTGGTGAGAAAAATTTAGTAACAAACTGACGTAGCCCTACATTGGAGGTTAAGGGTGGGCAATTATTGATTTTCTATTTTGAACCAAACCAAATTTGTTTTACTTTTTCACAAATTG